CTTCAGGTTGATCTCCTTGGTGGTGAGTTCCTTGCCAAGCTCAGAGATCTCTCCAGTGAGAGTGAGGAGCCTGTCATACATCTTGGAGATGCTTTCACCAGGGAGAAGTTTGAAGTCATCAAACTTCTTGTTGGCTATGGTTAGTTTGTTGTCCTTCTCTTGCTCATCACCAGCTCCAATGAGCTCAAGAGTATCCCAGATTTCCTTAGCAGTCTTGCACTTCTTGATTCTGTTGAAGTACCTATCATCAATGGACTTGTAGAGGATGTCCTTGGCAATATTGTCTAGGTTGTACTTTCTCCTCTCTTTAGTGGTCCATTCTGACTTGGCTTTACTGATCATCTGGGGTCTAGTGTTGTCTATGGCATGTTCAGGATTGACCTTCTGGAAGCTTGTGAAGGGGCCAATGTCTAGAACTTCCCACATCTCATCATACAGAGCACAGAGATGTGCTTTCATCCGGATCCTCCAGTCATCAAACTTAAGATCTGAAAACATAAGATTCTTGGACAAGGAGTGATCCATTATATCAGATAGAAATGAGGTAAAACAGAAAAACAAGTGGATCTTTGTTCAACAAATAACCTAAGAGATTATTAGAACAAGGAGGCTCTGATACCACTTGTTGGTCCCGGTTATACTGGATACAGTCTAGAGGGGGGGGGGGTGAATAGACTGTATTGGTTTTTAGCTTTTTAAACTAAGTACCAGATTTACAGAATAGCCTGTTCTGTTGAAAGAACAGACTGGCAGCGGATGGGGTTCTGTTAGCCTCAGAGAAGCAAAGGCAGAAGGCCTTCTGTTAACTCGTAGAACAAGTTCTGCTGAACACAGATACCAAGTCCAAGGAGTTAGACAGTTTAATCTAAGTGCAAGTATTAAAGCAGTAAGTAAACGACACCAGGGATTTTTATAGTGGTTCAAGGAACAACCTGTTCCTCTAGTCCACTGTTCCACTAAGCTGTAAAAACTGCCGTTTACAAAGCCTTAGTCCTAGTACTTAAGAAGCACTCCGCGTCTTCTTCAAGTCTAGATGTGTCCTGGGATGCACTGCCTGGCTTCCTTTAACACTGGTCCTTTCACTGAGTTTCCTTGAAGTATCACCACTTCACTACTCCAGTTACTTGGACGTCCTTCTTGTAGCAAGAAGAGTTTCTGTTGAAACAGGGGTTCCTCCAACTAGCTTCGTTACAAAAGATTTGTATGTGATGAGCTTGAAGAGTTGAAGAACACTTGGAACTTTGCTTGAGTTGGAAAAAGTATTTTTCCAACTTCTGCCTTCTCTTGTAGAAGATAATGAGTTTGAATCTCAAGGAGGCTTTTTGCTTTTTCAGAGTTTGAATATCTTGTTTGTAGCAATGGTTAGCAAAGGTTGTCTTGGCAAAGTTGTCCGGTTGTTCTTCGTAGTGTATCTTTTTATACTGAGGTTGTCTTCCCGTTGGAGGAGTAGGAGGACAACTGCATTTAATGCGCGAGGAGTTGACTTGACCAGTAGGACCCGGTAAAGTTGGCGGGTTACTATTTTGGGATAAAGTAATCCTGACATTGCGGCCAATCATCTGCAATTTCTCCACGGAGCATGGGGAGCATTAAATGAGCATTTAATGCGAGCACTGTAGCTTTTCCGTTTTATACTCCTAGCCGTTGAAGGAATCTTTTAGTTGACTTCCCGGCTTTGTGGATTTCTTCCAAGTGTCAGACCTTCTGGTGTCTTTGGCAGAGAACTGATTAGTGAAGATCTTGAGCACTTCTGTTGATAGTAGCTTACAGAGAACCAAGGGGGTTTCTTTCAAGCTAAAGGGTGACAGAGACCCTGAGGTTTTCCGTTCCTAGACAGAGAACCAAAATCTTCTGTCCGGAGGTCTTCTGGTAGAGAGGCCTTCTGATAGTCGATTATGCTAAGAACTTTACAAGGGAAAATTCTAATACATAATTTCTAAAAGGGGTACTCTAAAGTCCTAATTAATATAGCATCATCAAAATCTAAATACAATTTTTCCTTACATGCCCTAATGTTGGTCCTTTTATGGAGAGGGATTTCTGGAATATGACTAACATCAAACATGACTCTTTTTCTGCCCGAGTTTCCCACCCATTTTGGACGTACATCTACAGCTTCCCCTTTTTCAAGTTGGTCTTTAGTTGTGTTCCAAATGTTGAAAATAGTTCTTCTAATCACTGAGTATTTAGTGGCTAGCTTAGAAAACACACCTCTCTGAGCTAGTATTGCCCCAGAAATATCTCTTTTAGCAGTGATTAACATTTCATCTATTATGCTCTCTCTTTCATTGTTTGCTAATCTTTTTGCTTTGATATTTGAGCTTGGGTCTTGTGTTGTTTGCAGATCTGCAGTAGAGCCTAATGAAGATGGAGGCAAGTCTTCATTTATGGATGGTGAAGAAGCAGTCAATGGAGATGAAGCCAAATCTTCATTTATGGAAGTTGCAGAAGGGGAAGAAGAAGGCTGGACATCATTTATGCTGGCTTCCATAAATGTAGTCCGTATGTAGCCTAATGTGTTGTGTGTGCTGTGTGTATTAAATTCTTCTTTTAGAAAGTGTATTTATAGATGGAAAAGGCGAGGGAAATCTTGGAGGGAAGTTTGTTTGTAAGTGGGGTTTCCAAAACAGCTTGGATTGTATCCTATGAAGAGAATAATTCTTCTTGTATTTAATCAAATGAGCCGAGCTCATATATATACAATTACAATGAGAAGGATAAGCTAGTATGTAACTACTTGGTAAGATAAGTATTGCAGCAACTAACTAAGGATAAATACAAGAATAATATATGTGCAGATAATACATTATAATAAATATATATTATGCTGTAATACGCCCCCACAAGATGGAGGTTCCGTCGGAAACTCCCAACTTGGAACGAAAAAAAAATGGAGAACGACCCAATGGTTTGGTCAAGACATCAGCTATCTGTAACTTTGTAGAAATATGCTGGACATGTAATTTTCCTTGCTCAATAAGATCCCGAACAAAAAAATAATCAAGGGCAAGATGTTTCATACGGGAGTGAAAAACTGGATTAGCACAAACATATGTAGCCCCAAGGTTGTCACAGTAAAGTGTGGGTGTCGTTGAAAGAGCTATACCAAGCTCGGAGAGAAGATGACACACCCATAGTAATTCTGCACTGGCATGGGCTACATCACGATATTCCGCCTCAGTGGAGGATCGTGCCACACATTTTTGTTTGGCAGATTTCCAGGAGATGATGTGTGGCCCAAGATAGAGGACATAAGCAGTAGTGGATCTTCCTTGCTCATGAATATTCCCCCAGTCCGAATCTGAAAAGGCAGAAGCATGGAGACTAGCAGATGTTCGGAGAGTCAACCCATAGTTAAGAGTCCCTTTTAGGTAACGAAAAATTCTTTTGACCGCCTGCCAGTGAACTATTTTTGGGTGATGCATGTGTTGAGAGTTTGTTTACGGCAAAGGAGATGTCCGGTCAGGTAAACGCCAAGTACTGAAGAAGACCAAGGGCCCGCCTGTATTGAGTCGCATCTGTGTCGGCATCATCAGACGTAGCATGCAAAGCAATAGAAGTACTCATAGGAGTATCCATTTCTTTTACTCCCAACATATTGCACTCCTCGAGTACGTGAATGATATATTGACGTTGTGTGAGGAAGAGGCCATCCGTATGAGGTATTACGTCAATACTAAGGAAATGGTGTAATGGGCCCAAGTCCTTAACAGAAAAACGTGCCGTGAGTTTATCCCAGGCTTGTTTGGCGGTGAGAGCCGACGAAATAACTGGTTGGATAGTATCCGAGCAGCTACCAAGTAGTGCACTGATAATGGTTTTGTCCTGTCGATACCAGATAGTGTAACAGGGATTAATTCGTGTTTTGGCCGAAACAAGGAATTGATCCGGGGATGCAATGGTCCCATCGAGGTAACCTTCAATTCCTAATCCAATGAGAGCAGATTGGACTTGGCATTTCCACACAGGGAAGTTCGTGGCTGTGAGTTTGATGGGAAAGTGATTGGTGGCCGTGAGAGTGATGATGGGGGTGGTGGCAGTGATTTCCATAGCACAGGCTCTAGGAAAAAATATATAGGTTTAGTGATCTCGTGAGAGTAAGACTCTTGATACCATGAAGAGAATAATTCTTCTTGTATTTAATCAAATGAGCCGAGCTCATATATATACAATTACAATGATAAGGATAAGCTAGTACGTAACTACTTGATAAGATAAGTATTGCAGCAACTAACTAAGGATAAATACAAGAATAATATATGTGCAGATAATACATTATAATAAATACTCCCTCCGTCCCTAATAACTTTTCCAAATTTGACTGGCACGTAGAATAATGAAGTAAAAACTGTGTGGTTGAGGTTTGTGCAGAGGAGAGAGAATTAACTGGAACCACAAATTCTTTACTTAAAATGGAAAGTGGCAAAATTAGTGGGACATCCAAAAAAGAAAAGTTGGCAAAATTATAAGGGACGGAGGGAGTATATACGGAGTATTATGCTTTAATATCCTATGCGCAGGAAAATATCCCTTGGATTGCAGCTATCACATTAAATATTGCTTTTTGTACTCGTAGTAAATTTTTTTACCCCCTTCCCTGGTGAGCAGAAGCGGGCGACCCAAATCACCCAGTGCGTGACACCTCATCATTGCAGCCTCTTCCCTTTGGGCCGCCTCTTTCTTTAGTATAGGGGTATACATGGAAAGTCAATGCCATTTATCACTTGCATTAAACTCCGATCCAAGTCAAAGTGAGAAAAATTTTTCAGGACGAAAGAGTAATATTGAGGTAAAAATCCTTAATTTTCTTTTAATAATTATTATAATGTTATCACTATCATTATTTATATTATCACTATTAATTATCCAATATGTTTGATTAATATTCAAATCAAATACACTGATATTCTTATTTATATTTGATAATGAGATTTAATTAATCAGTGGTCGTGGTCTATTCACTCGATCCCCTAGCCTGAAGAATCAGTACTTTACTTTTACGATTCCCTGCCACTGGTCGTGGTCGATTCACTTGATTGGGGGAGAGTGCCATAGTGGTAGGTCCAAGTGTCCAACTATAGCTCACAAGCCGGAAGGGTTTTGAACTTCCCCCCCCAAATACATATCCGCCATGGAAACTCCACCACAGCCCCGAAAGCGAGGCCGACCCAAGGGTTCAACCAAAAAGGTCAAGGAGGACAAACATCGCGATTCGAAGCCTTCAGACACAGCCGCCGCCTCCACCTCCAAGATTCGCAGGGCCCCCGGTACTGGCATTAAGGTCGCCGGCACCTCTGATGAGAAGTATGACCAGTGGAAGTCACTGGTTCCGGTTCTTTATGACTGGTTCGCCAATCATAATCTCGTCTGGCCTTCACTCTCTTGCCGGTAAGATGATTTATTGTCAGAAATTCGTTCTTGTAATCTTTCTTTTGAAGGCTCATTGATACACTGAGCTTTAACTTTCGCGGGTCGTAAGGGGAAGAAAACGTGAAAATGTCCGCGGTTTCGTAGTAAAGAGGTTCCTTGTGCGGATGACGTGAATGATATTTGCCAGTTTCTTATAACCAAGGGCCACTCAGGGATGGTTGTGAGTCTACTAGTTTTGGCTTTTCTAAAAACTAAAAGTCGTATACTGGAAACTAGAAAAACCGGTGTTCAAGTTGTCTGCTATTATTTTTTCAAAATTAACATATGAGCAGTTTGGTTTATTATACAATATGGGTGTGTTTCAAGTGCAGAAGTACTTCTAAGTGCTCTAAATTGCTCCAAGAAGCAGTTTTTGAGAAACTAGGGGGTCAGCTTCTGAAATATGTATTCTGATTGTACTTCTTCTTTAAAAAAGAAGCAGGATCAATTCCTAAAACTCTTTATACCTTATAAACCTAAATTCATAGAACTGGCAACTCACAATCATCCCCACACAAGCCCAAGGGACTAAATTTAGATTTTTTTGAATGTTGTATGATAAAAATTTAGCATTTTTTAAATGTAGTAAGGGGACAAGATTCTGGACTGTGTTGACTGAAAATAGCTCAGGTGGTTACTCAGTTGAACAGTGAACACATGAGCATATGGGTCCCATTATCTAATAGAGTACAACGATGTGAAGATGCAATTTAATAAGTTCCATTTTGTGCTAACAAAAATAGTTTTACTTTTGTACATGTATTTTCATTGTTTTTCATCATCAAGATTTTTTGTTCATAGTTGATATTTGATTCGCTAATGGATAGGTGGGGTCCTGTGGTTGAGCAGCACAGTCACAAAATTCTCCAGCGGCTTTACCTATCTGAGCAGGTAAGTCTAATTGTACTGCTTTAACTGTAATTCTGCAACCATGGTTTAATATTTCAACATATTTTGTTTGATTTCTCAACAGTGATGTATAAAGCTCATCATATTGACATTGTTATGGTGCACATGACATTTAATTATCATTCCATGAGAAAAACATTTTTTGGTCATTAAGCTTATACACTGAATCACAACCTGTACACTGCACATCTTTATTATGTTACATTGTTATGGTGCACATGACATTTTTGTACATCTTTATAATCAACATTTCTAAGAATTGTATCTTTCTCTTTTCTGTTAATCCAATCTTAGTATGTGATCACTAATCTTTGGATAACAATGAGTGCCAATTGAGTGGTAGAATTTCTTCACCACCTAGTTTGGACTGCTTGCATATCCATCTATTTCTTTTAATTCATCATCACTTCATATATGCGAAATTCATTCTTGCTTCCAAATTTAACTGCATTCATTCTCTAATTTCCCATTGTTGAGTATATGTTGAGCATCTAATATTTCAATGGGTTAATGCTCCCACCTTTTCATTTGGACTGCTTCACCAGACAGATCAATCAGCACCAAACACACTGGTTATAGCTAACTGTGAGGTTGTTCGAGCAAGAATTGCAACCGGAAGTCACATGAAAAATGTACCCTTGAGTTTTGTTTAGATAAGTTCTAAATTGCTTTCCTCTTACCTTTCAACATGCAATTTTTAATATATTCTTTATGTAACTTTTAGTTCAATGCGGAATCACACTCGCCATATGTCAAAAAGTACAAAACAATTATTCACCCAGGAGAGGTATGTGCACCTTTCTGGCGCTATTTACACATTTTAACACACAAAACTACAAAAGGGAAGACTGAGAGAGAGAGAGAGTACAAGATTCATATTGAACTTAACACAGTTTAGACTTACAGGTTTTTATTTTGTGGTAAGGTGCCAGTAAATTGTTTATTATCTATATTTGGTGTGTGAAATTCTATACAATATACACTGTAGGTGAACAGGATCAGAGAGCTTCCTCAGAATAAAAACATAGTGGCTACCCATACTGATAGTCCTGAGGCAAGTTGCTGGATATTTATTACTATTTACTCTCTTCCCATGGTTAGTGGAAGGTGATCCCACTCCAGATATCACGTAAATTTGTAATTTGTGTATTTTGTAGGTTTTAATATGGGATGTTGAAGCCCAACCTCATAGGCATGATGTTCCTGGAGCTGCTGTTTCTGTTCCAGATTTGGTGTGTATTCTTGATCTATTTCCCCAACCTCTATCTTTGATTGATATGTGTTTACTTTTAATTAAAGGAATAATTGACAAGAATAATCCCAACTATCAGTGATCTGCTTGAAATAATCCAAAGTATCAATTATCTCAAAATAATCCCAACTATTGAAAAATCTTCTCAAAATACTCCACTCACTCATAAATATTATAAGTTATTTACAGATAATTATACGTTACCGGAGTATTTTTTTTTCATTTTCATTTACCCCAGTGCCGCAAAGGCTCCCACCTACGGTGGGGTAAGGGGGAGTCGGATGTACGCAGTCTTACCCCTGTACTAAAGCACAGAGAGACTGTTTCCGGATGACCCATAGTGAAAATCGCGTCCAAGATTGCATGGACTGACTGCTGCTCCATAACAAAGAAGCGCAGACAGTTTAGTGAGCCATTTTGCTTTATTCCATCATAATCTCAAGCCAAAAAATAATGAATCTTTGGCTCCATTGCAAATGATGGAAAATACCGGAGTATTTTGAGAAGATTTTTTAATAGTTGAGATTATTTTGAGATAATTGATACTTTGGATTATTTCAAGCGGATCACAAATAGTTGGGATTATTCTTGTCCATTTTTCCTTAATTAAATAATTAAATAATTGCTATTGTTTCTGGGTATGTTTGTTGGTCTATCACTGTAGCCCATCCAAGGAGATATATGATAGCAAAGGTATTAGTTAGAGATTATAATGGACAAGGTAGTCAAAAGCGAGTGTTTGAGGGCACCAGGCAATGCACTACCAAGGGTGCACACTTTGAGAATTCCCAGGCGCAGCTATAGCACACAAAGCACATAAAAATCACACAAGGCTCACGAAGCAGCAGAAGCACATAGGGCGCACACTTAAAGCTCCTAGGTTGGATTAGGATTTTAAGCTGATTTTCCTTTCCACAAAGAATTGGATTCATTTTCATGTAGCTCATATTCATATTTGGGGGTCAGTGGATTATCCCATCCGAGTAATTAGACATAACGGCAGACTCCACCACACAAGACCGTAGGACATGGTGCAGTGAACAGCGACTTGGGCAGTATTAGAGAGAGGTTTATAGTGTTTCAGGATGACAATAACACAACCCTATTTGCGGAAAAACATAGTGTTTCTATTTAGGGAAGTCGCATCGTTTTTATTCCTATTTCAGGGAATTTCCCCCGAAATATTTTCTGTACTAAAATCTGTTTCCAAAATTTCCACCTCAATGTATTGATCTGAATTTGTAAATGAATATTCATAACTCTCGATAACCTATAATTTTAAAAGGGGTAAATTAGGATACATTTGTCTTCAGGCAGAATTTAAGGCAATTTGTTTCATAACATATACACCCATATTACTTTCCCAATTAATGGTCTTGTTTTGGCAGAAATTAACTGGACATCAAGATAATGCTGAATTTGCTCTGGGAATGTGCCCCCTTGAGCCCTTTGTGCTATCTGGAGGTTAGAAAATTTCATTAACCTTTTTACTGTCAGAGTGTCAATCTATCAAATTCTATTCTGATTTAGTTTGATAAGTTGGTTTATGGTTTACTTCCCAGTCCCCTACGAATAGGAGTCTCATTCATGCATTATATTGAGCTATGCATTGTTGTATATGTGTTGCAGGAAAGGATAAATGTGTCGTATTGTGGAACATTCAGGACCATATATCAACATTGGCCACAGACAGACATAAGGCTGAAGGATCAGCTGGTTCAATTGGAGCCCGTGGAGTCTTTAAAGGGCATGATGATACTGTTGAAGATGTTCAGTTCTGTCCTTCAAGGTAATAGTTAAATCTATGTGATTATGACTGTTTATTGAATGAAATAGAAATCAATGTATATTAAGATATACTTCTTGAATCCTATTCTGTGTTGTGGTCTGAGGTTTTTGACTGGTTATCTGTTATTGATGCAGTTCTCAGGAGTTCTGTAGTGTTGGGGATGATTCTTGCCTAATACTATGGGATGCCCGGGCCGGTTCTACTCCAGTCATAAAGGTGAAATATACATCCTTGCTATATTATACTCTTTTATGTTAACTATTGCAAAATGTACTATATTTATCAGGTTGAAATGATTATAGGGGTCTAATTGTTTATATAAGCTGCGGGAATATTTTAAATTTTGAAATCAGGTTGAAAAAGCTCGTAATGCAGATCTTCATTGTGTTGATTGGAATCCCCATGATGACAATCTTATAATAACTGGGTATTTCTCTATGAACTTTAAAATTTTAATATGTCTAATGTCTTAAATGATGTAAAATAAAAAAGGGGTGCACTTATTATTCATGTTGTTAGTGTTGTTGTAATTATTACTACTGCTATTGTTGTGCTGCACTCATTATTTGCTGTGCCGTTCTGTTTAGGTCCGCAGATGCCTCTGTCTGCTTGTTTGATAGGCGTAATTTAACTTCGAACGGAGTGGGTTCGCCAATTCATATATTTGAAAACCACACATCAGCAATTCTTTGTGTGCAGGTATTAATTTAGTGTTTCTCTTGTTCCACTCATTCATGCTAATGCAATACTATGCGTGCTAAGTTGCTTACCAATTATTACGCATTACACCTATTTTTATTCCAGTGGTCTCCGGACAAGTCATCTGTTTTTGGGAGTTCTGCAGAGGACGGTCGACTGAATATATGGGATTATGCAAAGGTAATACGTGAGCATAACATTAGCATTTGGTTTTAATACGGGAAATTTCCCGAAATATAGAAGGAAACACAAGGTGGTCCCCTCAATTGGAGTACAATGCTTTTCTCTAAATACTCCGTAGGAGATTAGGAGTAGTACAAGTGTACAATAGAACCATTTTGAAATTATACTGTCATATTATGACATTATCAAGTATTAATATGGCAGTAGTAATGCCATAATATTATTGAAAAAGATGACGCTATTTACTCAAATTTATTGGAAAAACATAGTAAGGAAAACAACCATTACTCAATCAAAAAATGTATTGATGGAAACGACCTTGTTTTTATTCCTTTTTAGGGCAATTTCTTTTTTAATATTTCTTCCATCCCAAGATTTTCTCCAATGTTCCCTTTTAAGGAAACAATTTTATGGTTGATATGGTTTTTCTCCCTTCCTTAGCAAACTGTAACCATACAATTACAAAAAATATAAATTACCCCTGCTGTGTGCTTGGTTTGCAAGAAATGACAAAGAGAGACATAAAGAGAGTGAGAAGAGGAGGTGAATATTACTCTGTAGTTGTTTGGTGAATTCACATTGAAGATAATCTGGTAGGAGACATTCAGTTTAGTGGGGCCCACACTTCTTATACTTTGTCTACTTTAGTGAAAAGAAAGTCATTTATAACTTCTTAGTTCTTTCATGCCACACAATTTTAAATCCCACTCTTTAATCTTTACTTCATTCTTGTCATTCTCTCTTTTCACTTTCTCTCCCCATTCAAACAAAGCATTACTGTTAATTACAACTTTATGAAATGTCTCCCTTGCAGGTTGCTGAGGATACTCAGACGCCTGCTGGCTTATTTTTTCAGCATGCCGGACACAGGTTGCTGATCACAAACTGCATAAACCATTTCCCCGGTTCTTTGGATTGAGCTTTGCTTACAATTTTATCCACATGCTTTACTTTTCGTAAACTATAACACATTCTTAATGATGGCTGTCCACTAAGGGTCCGTCCAGAACTTGGAAAATGAAGCAAAGAAAACATGTAGAAAAAATAAGTTGGAAGTTTGGAAGGAAAGGAAGTGGGGGAAGTAAGATGCTGGGGTTTTCCATCATTTGCAACGGAGCCAAAGACTCTCTATTTTTTGGCTTTGGAATATGATGTAATAAAGCAAAATGACTCACTAAACTATTATGAAGTAGCAGTCAGTCCATGCAATTTTTGACGTGATTTTCACTATGGGTCATCCGGAAATAGTCTCTGTGCTTTAGTACAGGGGTAAGGCTGCGTACATCTGCCCCCCCTTACCCCACCGTAGGTAGAAAGCCTTTGCGGCACTGGGGTAATGATGATGATAAACGATGATGAAGTAATTTTACATAAAGCTCATTTTTTATCACATAAAGACTGACATGTCTAGACATGCATAAGATTTCTTAAAACATTAATCTCATTTCTTTTCCTTCGCATTTATTTTCCTTCACATTTTTTAAGTTAAAGGCAAACACAAGAAAATAACTTCCCCTAGCAATTCCTCCCCATAGCATTTCCCTTGATCTGGAATACTCTATAATTTTTTGCACAGGGATAAAGTTGTAGACTTTCAGTGGAATGCTTCTGTTCCGTGGACAATTGTGAGTGTATCTGGTGACAGTGAGTCCTCAGCTAAAGGAGGCGGCACACTTCAGGTAGTAAAATAACTTGAAAATATTAAGTCGATCTAACTTTTGGTTCCCTATTTTTTTCCGTTTCTTGTTTTTAAGTTGATCTAACTTTTGGTTCCCTTTTTTTCCGTTTCTTGTTTGTAACTATGGACTTCTTAGTTTCTCACCACTATTTCCTTTTCTGACCACTTCTCCAATATATTTTGCTGGATAAGTGACTGGACGTGATGAAAATGGCAAGAGCCCATGGTTGTGGCCAAAATTGAAAAAAATGAAAGATTGGGACATTTAGGATTAACAGTTTATGTTTTGGAAGCATGAACATTTAGGATTTCACACGAAGGCTTTGTGCCTCACTGAGTATTTCTTTTCCTGTTTCGTACTAGAAATTTTGTTATTATCCATTACTCTCTATGCCCTGGATTATGTGTCTTACTTTTCTTTTAGGGCTGTCTCAAAATAAATCTTGTGCTTCCTCTTTTGCAAGAAACATGTGGTTCATATCATTTCACTTTATTCTATTCAAACCATAGTCACGACTTTTACTTTTCAACCACTTTATTAATAATTGTGTTAAATCAAAACACACATAAAATGGCACGAAGGGACTAGGGAGTAATGTATATGTAATTTGCGGTGATACATTTTTCATAGAAGTTTTAACAGGATTAATTTAGGTATCATGATATAAGTAAAAGATTAGGATTGACTAGATGATGGATCTTTATAAAATGTTTATCATTGCATTAGATGCTATGGGTTATTATTTTCTGCTTTATATATAACACTTGTTAGATTAATGTTTGCTAAATAAAGCTCTGGCATTTTTTTTTAAAATTTACTAGTACATGACCAAGTAGTCGATCTTACTTGCTACTCGGCACTTGACCGAGTAGCCATGAAGTACCAATTTAACTACTTAGGCAATCACTGCATCTGGCTCTCCTCTTATAGTTAACATTTGTGAGTAATCTGTACCAATTTATCATCTTTCATTGCAGATATGGCGAATGCTTGATTTGCTTTATCGGCCTAAAGAGGAGGCTTTGGCTGAGCTTCAAAAGTTCAAAGATCATATTTCCCAGTGTACTCCCAAGCCACAATCATGAGATACAAATTGGTGTGTGCGATAGTCTACTTGGTATTCGCAAATGAGATTTTCGTAACAGGTTGACTTGCACATCTCAGCCAACCTCTTACCTCCCTATTTTGAATAGAGAGTTTGAGGTTCATGCGACATTCATGCTAGAGAAGACGTTTGGTAGTTGATGGAAACTTCAAAGGATTGATGAGTACTTACTAATGTCGCAAACAATTCCATATTTCGGTGTTTACCCTTCAGGAATATGTTAAGTTATACCATACATGCATGAAAGCACAATCTTTAGTATTTGTAGGATTGAATTGAATTTAGTATTTTGGGCATCGATTTGAATTACTTCTGGGTTCGGCTCAAAATCACCAAATCATACTGGGTATTATACTATTATATTTCATATTTCATACAATCATACCTTTACAAAATTACTTCTGAAAAGTTACCCATACTCTTAAAATTAGATACGGACTATGGAATTGTGAATGCTAAAGTTGCAAGTTTTTATTTTACAAAGATACACCATTCAATATTTAAATTACACGTATTTGCAGTTCACATAAACTACATGTTATGCTTCTATATATGTTCAGAAAAGCCAAAGAATAAGAAAGGTGGCAACACCGGAGGTGTTGTGATTCGTTCTAGCTTCTTGACTGGCTTTCTCCCTAGGGGTGGACTCGGGTCCGGGCTGGGTCCAGGTCGGGCCTAGGCTCGGGCGGGCCGGCGGTTCAGGAATGGTGGACCCAGGACCAGCCCGGGTAGCCACTGGGTCTGGTCCGGGTCCGGGCTGGGCTGGGCCTCCGGTTTGGGTATTTTCTTTGCTTTCCTAACCCCCCTCACCCCCACCCTCCCAAACCCATCCTAACCATCAAGCCCAATCCGGGTGGAACCCCAAAAATGAAAAAAAAAAAATCAATTTGGCCCGGGCCTGACCTGGCCGGGCCGGTTCGCCAAATGCGAGACCCGAGCCTGTACCCGCCCTACCCTCGGGCTTAGGCCTGACCCGGACCCGGACCCGAGAACTGGGCTGGTCCCGGTCCTGCACAGTAGCGGGCCGGGCCGGGTGGCCCGACCTGAGTCCAACACTATTTCTCCCAAGTCCCAAACGTTCTTTTGAGACCAAGACGTAGAGCGGTAGAGGGCAGCTGGGCAGGCATGGTGAAAACATCCTGAATATGAACTGATAATATATTAGAAAGTACACATCTAATGCTGGTTACTTTTCTAGAAATTGAAAAAGATATGTACCTGCCTATGTAAATTCTTAGTAATGTTAATGTCATTATTCCACAACAGAGTAAATCGAACAACAAAATAACAAGTGTATTAGTTCCAAGTTCTGACAAGAAAATATCAACCTCCTAAAATAGAAAATTTCATGCAACAAAAATTAACAATATTATTTATATGGCATAAGAGCTCTCTTTTTGGCCAGGAAGAAAATGTTCAACTAATGAAAGTCTCTGGTGTGTGTTTCACTCACTGAACAAGGGTGCAGGGGGTGTGCTTATAACATTGAAGAATTTGGCCTTATTAGAAGGGACTCAGAAGGACACTCAAATAATACACTGCACACACAACTCATCACTAGCTCAATAATGAGTTCAACTTGAATTCTAACGGGAGAGGAAAATACTGATAAGCCAGATAGATAAATAGCTAGAGTGTAGTGGTAAGTGGGCTGCTAGAAAGGGTGCTAACTATTATTAATATACAAAAAATGTTTGGGCCAACAATATATTAACAATCATAAATCCAATAAAGAAACTCATTTTTTTTCAAATATCGATATTCGTTAATATTAAGTTCAAACAATCATTGTTTCCCATACCTATCATTACCATATTCGTCTCACGAAATTAAACCAACTATTAAATGAATTACCCCTTCTGCCCTTCACAGTTTGCATCGGAGGAGGTAGGGGAAGCATGGGAGGAAAGCACCCCCGCTTATGGTCTTGAAAAATACTATTAATACTGATGTTAATTATGGATTTATGGCGGCTCCGCTTACAGTCCCATTGGAAAATGGAAACTATTATATCTTACATGAGTTAAGAGACTTAAACGTCATAGAATATTTTGATAAGAAACATTATGACGTTGAAAAAGAAGAAAATACTACCACATATTATTCAAAAGACAAACTCAAAACAATTTTACAATCGTATACAGAAATTTCAGATTGGGTCATTAAATAAAACAAAACAAAACAAAAATCTGATGGTGTTGAGGTGAAGTAACTAACTTTCATAATATAGAAATGAAATGCTTTATAATCGTATACAAAGATGTATGATTGAACTTCCACCACATGTCACATATATTGATGGCTCAGTTTTACTAGACATTTGTATCGAAAACAGATGCACCCGTTATGGTTTGGAATGATTAAACTTAATTAGTGAAAGTTGCATCTGTTTAAGTTATCTTACCATTTATATTTAAAGAGTTTAAATTGATCATCTTAAGCTAACATATGACTTTACCACGTGCAACATTGATAAACAAATATACATCTCACCATGATCCTAATTCCAATGAAAAGGAAAATTCTAGAGATGATGAACCAATTGCCCATCATCTGCCACCTCCTCGTCATAAGCCTAGGAAGAAAAAGATAGTTGATCCGGAGATCTTGGCTTCGGAGAGGGGGTTGACAATGCCAGTTTTCCTTAGGCTCTCCAAAAATAATGGGAAACCGTCAAACCGGTTAATCACAAGAAAAGATTTCCTATCCAAAAGTACAATACGGAAAGTGAGGAAGAATGGGAGGGAAGAAGGCTTCTTAGCGCCCACGAGATGGAACCGGATGGTATTGTCACAAAGTTCGTGCCCGGTGAGGATGTTATGCAAGTGGTATATGTTAAGAAAAGGCAACAAATCAAAAGCCATCTAGCCGTAACAAGGTTAGGGATGGACTTCAAAAAGGAATCCGATCCAAATTCCGTGGGCATCAACTTCTTGGACCAATGCTTAGTTTCACTTCCTGGAGTCAAACGTTCAAGGACATGGTACATTTTTAATAAATATGTTTTTATTCCTAACGTTGCTTGTTTCTTTGATGTTCATGCTAGGCACAACAAGGAGTTCATCCTAAGAAGGGAGCAAGAGCTAAATGGTGAAGTCAAGAAGAAAAAGAAGAGATCTAAGGACACGGGCAACACATTTGGGGGCTGTAAATCTCCGAACCTCGACCTCACTTCATTTATGTGTGTGCTAGCATGGAATGTTAGGGGTTTGAGTAAAACCTCTAAACAAAACTCTACCGTTAATATTATACGTACTAAACATATTTTGATTGCTTGTTTTCTCGAAACAAAGATGTCCCCTACCGGTTTTGCGAAATTGGTTTCAAATAGATGGCCCAGTTGGCTTTCTAGCACCAACTTTGATCAAATAACAGGTGGTCGCATGGGGATTATTTGGAACCTTAGTTTGGTTGACTGTGTGGTAATTGAGGTGGTTAAACAACATATGCACTGTAAGTTTGTATGTAAAATCACTCAATTCCCTTTTTATATTACTTTCGTGTATGCACTTTTTACTATTGTTGATCGTAGGAGTCTTTGGGAGATTTTAGCACAGGTGGGTGACTTAATTGTTGACCCTTGGATGGTCATGGGAGACCTAAATTGTGTTTTCTCTTCCATGGAAAGGGATGGGTTCTGCCCCTCCTACATCGTATCTCATGAAGGATTTGTTGGATTTCAAAGCTAATTCGGAGCTTAGTGATGCCCCCTCCACGGGAGATTTTTTTTACTTGGAACAGAGGTCCTCTTTGGGTCAAACTTGATTGGGTGATGATAAACTCTGTTTAGGGCCAACAAAATATTGAGTGCAAGGCTCATTTCGGTGAAATGGGGGTGAGATTCGATTACATGGCTTCAATTGTGACCATTCTCCACAACTCCTATACTCGAGCTAACCCATTTAATTTTTTTAATATGTGGATTAAGCACCGTGATTTTTCTAACATTGTTGAGCAGGTTTGGAACCAACATATTGATGGCTCAGCTCAATTTTCTTTAATTAGAAAATTGAAGTTATTAAAAGGACCTCTTAAAGATCTTGATAAAAAGGACTTTGGTCATATTTCTTGGAAAGCTAAGAGTGCTACAGAGGAGTACAAACGGCTTCATAAACTGTCCTTAGCCTCCCATTCGGATGTGGATCTTATTAACGACCTTAAGGAGGCAAAAAAGAAAGATATTTTCTTGAGAGAAGCTGAATGTAGCTTCTGCCAACAAAAAGCTAAGGCCACACACATCTTGGAAGCGAACAAAAACACTACATACTTTCATGCCATCATTAAAAGGAACATGGCGCGCAACGCCATATCTTCTATTACTTTAGCGAATGGTAACCTTACTATGTCCTTGGAACAAGTGGGACACGAATTCGTTAATTTCTTATCTACTTTATTTGGTACTCACATGGATTCCTTAGATATTGATCCCTTAGTTATGATAAATGGTCCTTCAATTGACCCCATTTCTCGTGAAAGACTTGTTGAGCCCGTAACCAACATGGAGATAAAAATCGCCCTCTTTGACATTGAGAATGACAAAGCTTCCGGGCCAGATGGTTACTCTTCGGCTTTCTTTAAAGCTAATTGGGATTTGATTGGTGATGACATGGCTAGTTCGGTCAAAGAATTCTTTGCATCCGGGAAAATGCTTAAACAAATTAATCGTACCGTGATTGCTCTTATTCCAAAGACAAACCATGCACCAAAGGTCTAGGATTATCGACCTATTGCATGGCACCTTGCCTTCCGTCTTTGGTTGATCCAGCTCAAGGAGCTTTCGTTGATGGGCAACTTATGTTCGACAATATCTTTCTTGCACAAGAACTCGTGAGAGGTTATACAAGGAAACACATCTCTCTAAGATGTATGATTAAAGTGGACCTTCGTAAAGCATATGATACCATATCTTGGGAGTTTTTGGCGTGCATTCTTCGAGGCTTGGATTTACATCCTAGATTTATTGGATGGGATTATGGAATGTGTGTCTAATGCATCATTTTCCATTTCCCTAAATGGCTCACTTTATGGATGGTTTAAAGGCAAGAGAGGTATTCGACAAGGACATTCTATATCCCCTCTCTTATTGGTCGTATGCCTTGAATATTTTTCTAGATTGCTCAAGATGAAAACTAAAGGGTCCGGATTTAATTATCATCCCTCTTTGTTCTTCTCTTGGTATTACGCACTTGGCTTATGCCGATGATCTTATGCTTTTCTCTAGAGGGGATACACATTCTATTTGGTTGATTTTGGTGAGGTTTCCGGCCTTAGAGTTGACCACGATAAATCAAATATATTTATTGGTGGTGTCTAAGATTATGATATTGGTCACATACTGGATTTGGTTGATTTTGGGCATGACATTTTTCCGGTCAAGTACCTTGGCATCCCACTTGCCCCATTAAAGGTTTTGGTGGCACAATACTC